CGGGGGGGGGGGGGGGGGGGGGGGGGGGGGGGGGCGGCGGCGATTCAGCATGGCGTGGACGTGTGACGTGGTGTGTGGGGTTGCGGGCATGGGGTACGTGAATGTGGTAAAGAAAAGGGATCAAGAGCCATACGTGTGGACAATGCAGTGGTGGGGTGGTCTGCTATAGATAGGAGTGCCTTGTCTCTCTGTGTGTCTTTAAACAAATATTAAGCCACCACAAAATTCTGAGCTTCAAATATGGGACATACTAAGAACTAGACAAGATAGATAGAGCATCCTTTGCCACAATTTTTGAGGAAAATGTTAACTTAAGCTAGCCTTAACCCATGAAAGATACCCTTTGGCAAGATGATGTGAAAATGTGTAATAACATTTTTTTTTATTACTTAGTTGGATTGCATCCGTACAAAAGCTTGTCGTAGCTGCAGCTTTTGTACTTTTTTTAAAAAAAAATTGTTTCTTTATTTATTTTGTTTTCTTTTCTTTATTTTATTTTATTTTATTTATTAGTTTCGTTTGTTTAATTATTTTGTGTGCTTTATTTTTTAAAAATTTTTTAATTCTTTATTTATATGTAATAAAAATTTAATGAAATAATTTATTAAAAGAGTACATAAATTTTCATTGATTTATATATACAATGCATACAAATTAATTTCGTCATACTTACTCATCTAATAACTACTTCATTTATTTATCGTACAATTGGTTAGTGATTTCAATGTCTTCAGATTTGAAATTTCTTTAATTTTAGTTATTTCAATGTTTTCAAATTTGTACTTGTGTTAATTTTAATAATTTCAATTACTTCGAATTTGTAAGGTTCATTTGCGGTTTAGTTTTACAATTCAAATTAATAACACTAATTATTTTAGATAAAAAAAATTCGTAGTATAATTTACATTCGGTTATATGCATAATACAATTAATTTTTTTAATTGTTTTTTAAAAATTACGTTTTCATATTTTCAGTATTGCTATTTTTAATATTTTAAAGTAATTTATATAAAAAAAATTATGTTTTTGAATTTTCATTTTTGTTATTTTTAATATTTAAATGTAATTTATATGTTGATAAAAATTAATAATGTTGAAGAGAAAATAATATTTATTGAAAAATAAGATATTAATTTTTTAAAGTTGTAAAATTGGGGCCACTTCTGAAAGTTAATTAAATTTGCATGGATGTAATGTTAATAGTAAATGAATTGCAAATTAAATGATCTGAAAGTAAGATTTATTTTTTGGATAAGGATAGTCTTAGAAAATACTATTGAGAATAGAGAGGAATACAGAATACTCAGACTTGCTACATCTATTGGGTTTGGCACAACTTTTTATGAAAAACCCAAAAAAGAAAAAAAAAAAAAAAAAGTGGCTGCTAAGCACCTCGCCCTCCCTAACTTGTTCTTGATGTGCAAGTCCGGTGCGTTTTAATTATTTTATTTATTGTTGTTTCCACTTGGCAAATAGCATTGTGGATGCTCTTAGTTATTCACTAACCGTTAATTACTTCTAAGAGTGGGTATTCAAATTGTTAACTAATGTCTATCTATCGGAGCCAAAGCTCTTCAATTCAATGCGCCTTGGCATGTTTAATTTAAGTTTGAATCCCCGTCCTCAGAGGGGCGGAGCCAGGATTGAATAGTGTGGGGGGCCAACTACGGTTAAAATACTAAATTAAATACATTGATATCCAGTTAACATATTTCAAAGTAATCATTACATTACAAATTTAATAAAGTTTAGAATAAATAATTTATAATTGAATCTATATTAAATTATTTTGTAATATGTTTTTCAATGCACATTGCTTTGTACGGTTGAAAAAATGAAAACATTCACGCATATTTTAAAAAGACTATTGATTATTTCTGGAAAACTACCATCTTCACAACATAACATAATAACAATTGTTTTCTTAAATACATATACTACACAATTTTTACATTATTATGCATGTTAAATTAAATACAACATTTATCACGTAACCACAAATCTGCATAATTAACCAAACAAATGCACCTTCATATCCATTATTTAGAATAAAACAAAACCACTATTTAAAATAAACAATAGAATATGAAACAAAAATTAACTAAACATGTAGTTAGAAACAAAAACAAAAACAAAAACAAAAACAGAAATTAACTTGAAATAGATTTTAATGACAAATTATCTTGTTATAGCGTATATACCGCATATATGTATGGTTCTAGAGAGAGAAACTAATAGGTAGGTTAAATGAGGTTTAATAATTTAAATGTGAGTCACAATATATATAGTGAATACATAATTTGAAATGTGAGACAACGGGAGATATTGAGAAGATGAGAAGTTTATAACTTAGCTTGTAGGATTAATTTAAGTGGGAGGGGGGCCAAATATTTTGAATGAACAACAAAATTTTAATATTCTATATAATATTTTTTTAAAAAATTTAATATTATATTTAATATTTAAAAAAAAAATTGGGGGAGAAGGGGGGGAGGGGGGGGGTCAAGACCCCCCCTTGGCATACCTTTGCCTCCGCCCCTGCCCATCCTTACTAATAGGTTGCGATTTGGAGAGCCGAGTTTTGCATCCTACTATCGAACTATAACGCTAACTGTTATGCAAGTATAAGGAAATAAAATGCTAACTGTTATGCATCGGACTGTAACGCTAACTGTTATGCAAGTATAAGGAAATAAAATGCTAGTATAAGGAAATAAAATTGTACCTTCGCTACTAGCCTAGTAAACGCTTTGATCTTGGTATCAGAGTCAAGGTCACGGCTTTTAATATAGAGGTAAGCGTATCCTACAACTCCTACTACATAGAATTATGGAGGATGGGTAAATTACAGATGTGCCTCAAACTAGTTTAGTCCCCAACAACTCCTACTACATAGAATAATGGAGGAGGGATAAATTACATATGTGCCTCAAACTGGTTTAGTCCCCAAATACTTAAGCATTAGTTTGAGGAGCAACAATGATCAAAGCTTGGCATGTTTTTTCTTTTTTTTTTTTGGGCCTGTCTTACGGTCTGGATTCACCCTTCTTATCCCCGCTCATTCCGAGATGGGGCCTGTCTTACGGTCTGGATTCACCCTTCTTATCCCCGCTCGTTCCGAGAGGCACAAGACCTGACCCATGGAGAATCATCACTTGTGTGAATTGAACTTGGGTTATTCCGAAATTCTTCCCACAAAGAAAGTTCATTTACCACTTGAGCTATCATGTTGGGTTTGGTTTTTTTAATACTTTAGGGTGTGTTTGGTTCACACCTAGAATCAGAATCGGAATGAGTATCAAATACTTGGTAATGATAATGGATTTTGGTGAAAGTATTTAACATGTTTGGTAGTAGGATGAAATGAGAATAGTTACTAATAGTAGTGCTTGAGAATGAACAAGGGAATGAAACTCTTATTTTATTTGGATATGAATTTTTTAATTGATGGGGTATTCAAAACCCATAACAGTGTTCTAAAAACCTATCAACCAAACAATAACAATCACTTTTGAAATATATATTAGCGCAGCACACAATGATGTTGAAACTGACGTTGTAACACAAACGATCTGTAACGCAGTTCGGGCAAACAACCCTAATCTGCGAGGCACTTCTCAATTTGAGAACTTGCCTAAATCCACTAAAAGCTCAATATTTAAAGTACACTGTTTGGAACCTGAGATTACACAATAGAATGATCTTTCCTACCAAACTATTGAAACCTAAACACATGTACTACTTTCTAGGGGAATTTAGTATCCTATTCTCAAAGACTCTCGTACCTCACCAGATTAATGTTGAATGCTTGAGTTTTACAAGAAAGGACAACCCCTATTTATAGTAGCTATTCCTAACAGATTCGTGAATAATAAAGCTATTCCTAATCAGACTAGAACTAAACACTTCAATAACAATTCCCTTTAGAACTAGTACTCTTCAATAACTACTCCTCTTAGGCTTGGTATTCCTTTATAGATCTGGTATTCCTTTTGCACATAACTTTGACAAAACACTTTGAGTCAACAATCTCCCCCTTTGTCAAATTTTTGGCAAAAACCTTGATCTCATAGTGGCTTGATTTCCTATTCTTCTCCCCCTTAGTTGATTCTTCTCTCCCTAAACTTGATTCCTGGAGTTCTTAGAAAAAAAAACCTGAAACTTGTATTTGAATGTGTGAATGAAGAGAATTCTTCACTGTCTCTGTACATTTTACCAATGTGTGGTAAAGTAGATCCACACAGTCACAAAAGTAGAGGATTTGATCATAGATAAGTTCAAGTGGTTTTGGATCTGTAAATCAAATTTCGCCATTCACGCAGGGCAAAGCCCGCATCATGCATTTCATTTGGAAGAGGAAGCACCGGGCCATCAGAGATGAATATTCCGGTGGAATCTTCTCCGAGATCATATGGATTTCCATTGCCGTTTGAAACCGGAACGGTAGAGGATCCGAAAGCTGGGTGCGGATCCGACCCGAATCCATAGGGATCGGGACTGTGGACGGATTGAGGAAAGTGCTCAACTGTCACTTCATCGTACTCTCCCGGAAATCCCCCAGCTGATTGGTACGGTGGCGCGTATCCGCCGTAACTGCCGTCATCAAACGGCGGAGGAGCCGTTCTGACGTGCTCATCCATGGTAGATACATCGAAGATGCTGATTTCCCCGTCTTCTTTTCTTGATTTTCTGGTGATCCTTCGCACCAGGCTCTCTTCTGGGTTGTTGAGGTAGCAAGAAAATGAAGTCACCCGAAGACTCATGTCATTGGCTTCCATGGAGATTATTATAATAACCGGACAGTAACGGGTTTTGATTGGAAATTAGTTTCGTACTTGTATTCATTTATACAAACCCCTCTCGCATTTGGGTGCGCCTCAACTGTTCGACAGAATTTCGGAGTCATTGTAAGTGCAATCCAAACTTCATATTTTGTTCACATATGTCATAGCTCAACTTTATACCCCAATCATGTATATCTGTTACAGTTTAAGGCTTCATCAATGTTTTTTGGGATCAAACTTGGAGGTGTGGCAGTATACTCCTTTTATTTTGTGGAAATCTTGTTTCTTTCCTCTAGTCTTTATTCTTTGATTGAGATCTCCCATGATATTTTCCAAAGGATTATTTTTCTGATTTTTTAAGACAGTAGGATGACTTTTATCCTTTTCTTCATTTGGCTCTGTTTCTGTTCTGCAATTCTGCATATCATTAGTCAGAGGTGTTGGAACAGTTGTTTCAACAACTCTTGGACTTTTGTCATCATCAGTGATTATTGCTGGAGTTACATCATCAATGATCACACTATTTGATGAATAGCCTGGGGATGCTCCTTGGTCATGAAAATTTATGTGTCCCATACGTTGGTGCCATAATTGTGTTTGACTGATGGTTGTCTGTAAAGCGGATAGATCACTATCCCATGTGTAGCATTTGTTTGTAGACCTTTTTCCCATCATGACACAATCATGATTCTGATTAAACACATTGCAACTGTCTCTAGAGAACTCTACTTTGAGTTCATCTTCACAAAGCTGACTTATGTTGATTAGATTTGCTTTTAGGCTTTGTACTAAAAGGACTTTTGACAACTTAGGCAGCCCATGGACATTCAAGGTACCATTTGCAATAATTTGTCCTTTTCCACCGTCTCCAAAAGTGACATGCCCTTCATTTTTGTACTGGATGTTCTCAAGATTTTCTGAATTTCCAGTCATATGCCTTGAACATCCGCTGTCAAAGTACCATATATCTTGCTCTTTGTTTGTTTTGGAGGTATATGCAACATTTTGGTCTTTTCTTACCCAGATTTTCTTACTATTATTTCTGTTCTGTGTTGGCCACACTCTGTTGTTTTGTCTGTAGTAAAGATCATTCTGTCTCTTGTAGCAGTGAGTTTTGATGTGTCCTAGTTTGCGGCAATAGTAGCACCTTATTCTTCTTCGGTGTCGGAAGTGCTGTTGTGACACTTCCTGTGTCTCGGTTTGATGATTCTCACTAGTGTCTGTGCTTGGAGTCCTGGGTCTTTCGGTAAGCTCCTTGATTTCTTGTAGAAGTTTAGCTTCTTTGTTTTTGAAGTCTAATAGTTCGTTTTGAGCTTCTTTGTATTGTTTCTCTATTCGTTCTTTTTCATTCTTCAAATAGTGATTATCTTCCATGAGTTCCAAATTTTTCTTGATGATTTGCTCCCACTTGGCATTTAGTTGAGTGTATGCCTCTAGTAACTCTTGCATGTCATCGCTATTGTTGCTTTCATGGCTAGCGGTGAGGGCTACGAAATTTGTGTTGCTATCATCTTCTTCACTATCTGAGTCGTCGCTTAGGGTTGATATATATGTTTTATTTTTCCTTTTCAAGTATGTGGCACATTCTGATTGGATGTGTCCAAAACCTTTGCATTCATAGCACTGTATTCCTTCTGTATTTGAACTGTCTCTTCTTTTTGAAATAGATTGATTTTGTCCAGTTAGGAAGTCCCCTTGATTGATTGAAGCACTTTTGTTTCTAAATTTGTTGAATTGTTTGAGAACTCTGTTGAAATTCTTTGTTAGGAGAGCAATTGATTGTTCCATGGTTTCAGTATCAATTTCTGGACTTCCTTTCTGCTTTGATTGGAACGCAATTCCTTTGTCATTATCTTTCCCTTTTTGCAGTATCTCAAGCTCATATGTTTGAAGATTTCCCATTAGATCACTCAGTTTGTAGGTGTTTAGATCTTTATGTTCTTGAATAGCGGTGACTTTCATTTGGAATCTTCCGGGTAGTGAGCGTAGTACCTTTTTGACGATCCTATGTTCGGGTATAGGTTCGCCTAAGTTGAATGCATCTCCGGATATACTTAAAACTCTGGCACTGAATTGGGTGATGCTTTCTTCCTCTTCCATTTTCAGGTTTTCAAATTCAGTTTGTATCATCTGAAGCTTAGATTGTCTTACAGTTGTGTTTCCCTCATGATGATCGCACAATATACTCCACGCAATTTTGGCTATGCGAGTAGAGGCAATCAGTTTGAAGGTATCTTCGCTCACAGCTCCATAGATTGCATTCATTGCCTTCGAGTTGAAGTTATATTCTGTTTTTTCTTCTTCACTCCAGTTAATTTTAGGTTTTATGTTTCCTTTATCATCAACTGGAGTTTTCCATTCGTTTTCTATAGCATTCCAGACACCTTCTCCTTGTGCCAAGATGTATATTTGCATTCTGGCTTTCCAGTAGGAAAAATTCGTGCCAATGAGGGCAGGTGGCCTAGTGTTTGACAGTCCTTCTCTGGGAAACTCCATTAGGATCCTGCTAATAACTTAAGCAGTTTGGCTCTGATACCAATTGAAATATATATTAGCGCAGCACACAATGATGTTGAAACTGACGTTGTAACACAAACGATCTGTAACGCAGTTCGGGCAAACAACCCTAATCTGCGAGGCACTTCTCAATTTGAGAACTTGCCTAAATCCACTAAAAGCTCAATATTTAAAGTACACTGTTTGGAACCTGAGATTACACAATAGAATGATCTTTCCTACCAAACTATTGAAACCTAAACACATGTACTACTTTCTAGGGGAATTTAGTATCCTATTCTCAAAGACTCTCGTACCTCACCAGATTAATGTTGAATGCTTGAGTTTTACAAGAAAAGACAACCCTTATTTATAGTAGCTATTCCTAACAGATTCGTGAATAATAAAGCTATTCCTAATCAGACTAGAACTAAACACTTCAATAACAATTCCCTTTAGAACTAGTACTCTTCAATAACTACTCCTCTTAGGCTTGGTATTCCTTTATAGATCTGGTATTCCTTTTGCACATAACTTTGACAAAACACTTTGAGTCAACAACTTTCATATCTATTCCTATGAATAAAACCCATGAACCAAACACACCCTTAATTTGTCTTCATGCAATCATTGTTGCTCTCTAGCATTCGCCTTTCATTATACATACGCACAATCAAGCATTACAAAACTAAAAGAAAGACATTAATTACGTAGTAAATTTCAAGGAGGATTTCATTTTCATATTAATTTCAACGCTATATATTACATCATTCCTGAAAAATAAAGTATTTTTAATCACCCAAAATAGAAAAAATTTCACAATTTTTAAAAATTTTCTTGCCACTTTTTAGATGGTTGGAAAGTGATTGACATTTTTGAAAAAAAAAAAAAGAAAAAAAAAAACATACATCGTTGGCCTTGTCGAAATTTTTTTTAGCAACTGTGGCTTTTTTTAAACCACCGGTGGATGAATATTTTGTTGGATTTTTTTTTTATTTTTTATTTTTTATTTTTGTTGCAAACGTGACATTTTAAGTGGTTATTTTGTAGTACAAATATATGCTGAGTTTACTTTCGATTTAGGTCGAATCAAGGTGTATACGAATTCTTTAAAGTGAGACGAAAAAATTGATATATTATATGCTAAAAACGGATAATAGGTGAATGAGAAATTGATTCTCAAAATAAACTATTTGAGTTGAAAAATGAAGTTGTTTAAGGCTTGGAAGAAAAACATTTGCCCACATTGAAATGGAAAGTGCATTTGCACTAGTATATATACACAGCTTGAATTTTCTTGTTTTCTTTCTACTCCATTGTCCAGTGACTTAACAATCCCAATTTTCTAACAACTTGAATTGGTGGTCAACCACAACAATTTTTTTGGTTAGTACATGAGGTGTCCTGAGTAGGCTCTAATTATAGGAGACACATTTAAGCTCGTACCATACTTAAATTATATTAATTCTCATTTGCACCGGACCGGCCCAATTAAGGGGCAAAGTGCTGGCCATACTGATTTTTCCATAATGAGTTTGAACTCCCAACCTCTCTTAAGGGATGAGAGTGCATGGCCACTCAAAGCCCATATCATACACAGATTAATCTTCATTCGCATCAGGCCGGCCAATTAAGGGGCAAAGTACTGGCCAGATTGATTTTTTCATAACGGCTTTGAACTCCCGAACTCTCTTAAGAGAAGAGAGTGGATGGCCACTCACGCCAACTAAGCTGGTTAGTCAACCACAACAATTGATAACAGGTAATACCGGCAAGAAATTTTCTACATTCCTAAAATGTTCAGAAATCAAATTTCTAACTGCAAACTAGAGTTTTCATATCATTTTTTAAAAGATCCGGAGACCCTAATCTAGATCAACGGCTCAAATCAAGATTTTTTTTTTTAAATGCACTTTTGCCAACATGCATGCCTGTATGGAAATGATCTAAGTGTCTCAAAGTAATGCACCTTAAGATATAAAACTACGCACCTTAAGTTATAAAACCACGCACCTTAAGGTATAAAACAACGCACCTTAAGTTAAACTGATGCAACTTGAACTAAGAAAGTGATGCACCTTAAACTTTAAATATACACACCTTAAGGAGGAAAACGATGCACCTTATGCTAGGGAAAGACGCACCTAAAGCTTTAGAAAAATGCACTTAAACTAGAAAAGTGACGCACTTTAACCTTTAAATATACGCACCTTGAGAAGGAAAACGACACACCTTAACTATGGAAAGACGCATTTAAAGCTTTAGACTAACGCACCTTAAAGTTTCAACAAATTAAAAACACACCTTAAGTTCTCAACTGAAGAACTAACGCACCTAAGTATAGAAATCACGCAACTTAAGAAGGAAAATGACACACCTTAAATTTGACCAATACGCAAAAATACCAAATTGCCACCGCTTTTTTAAAGTTTTTTTCAATTTGGGCTGTTGATTTTGATTAGATCAAGGGTTGGGATTAAACCCCATCTTTTACCTGAAACCTATTACCGCAATTGATCTCTATTATATATATATATATATATATATATATATATATATATATATATATATATATATATATATATATATAAACATAAAAAATAAACGTTTGTATATATTCACAAAATCCGTTTACAGTGTGTGTAATTCAAGGTGCAAGTACAAAATCTCCGTGTAGTCCTCGGATTCCTCACTAACATGTTCTACTGAAGTGCCTCCGAGATTCAAGTAGCGTAGCCTCCGGAATTCAAATGGAGCGTGCCTCCAAAATTCAAATGATGTAGCTTAATTCCGGGATTCAAGTGGCGTGATCTTTGACAGAAATGTCAAGCTTCAAGACAGTCAACTCTGAAGAGCTTCAAAGTACCTCCAATGCCTTAAAGTTGCTTCAAGTCTTCAAATGCCTTCAAGTTGTGCCTTTAACGCCTTCAATGAGCTCTCAAATCTTCAAGTCTTCAAATTGTGTTTTGAAATGTCAAATGAGGGTTCTATTTATAGTGAAAATATAACCGCTATCCCTCAACAAACTCCCTATTTATTTATTTAAATTAATTAATGAACTAAGAACATGAACTTTGCTAAAATCAAGTCTAGGTTCATTATTCTATCATCTAATTCAAATTAAGTTATAATTATCTAAGTCAAATATAATAAAATTATATTTAAAATCAATTATAATTATAACTAAATTCAAATATGAATTGGGCTTGGATCAATTAATTAATTAACTCAATCAACAATCGGAAATGAAATTTAATTGGGCTAGTTAAATTAATATAATTATCATGGCCCAATAATAACTAAATTGGTCCAATAATCAATCTCAAGATTAGGCCCAATAATAATTTTATCAGTCCATCTTCGGGTTCAAATTTTCGATGTTTACAAAGTCCATCTTCGAATTCAAATTTTCTGTGTCTACAGTGCCCAACAACTATTTTTCTATAAACAAATTCTTTATTCCTCACACTAAACTCTTCCGTATTTACTTTAAAATTGATGGGTGAAATTGTAAAAAAATAGTAACATTTACTTTATTGCACTAAAAATCATGCGAAAAGTAAATAAGACAAGAAATTCGGGAAAGAAGGATTACCTTTTTTGTAAAACATATTATTTTGTCTTTGAAAGTAACTTTACAGCTTTTCAGAACTTATTTTCACTCTTGATGTTAGGACTCTTGAGAATTGCACCAAACATGTGTGTTCTACAAAGAAATTCTTTATTCCTCATTTCCGCATACTAAACTCTTTCGTATTTAATTTTAAATTGAGGGGTAAAATTACAAAAATAAAAACATTTATTTTGTTGTATTAAAAATTTTGCAAAAAGCAAATCAAATAGGGAATTCGTGAAAGAAGAAATAACTTCTTGGTATAACTTTTTTTTTTGGTCTCCAAAAGTAGCTTTACAGCTTTTCAGGACTTCTTTTGATTCCTAATGTCAGGATTCTTGAGAAATGTGTCAAACAACTTTTTTTTTATATAAAATTGAGGGGTAAAATTATAAAAATTGTAACATTTACTTTGTTGTATTAAAAACCGTGCAACGAATAAATCAGACGAAGAATTCAGAAAAGAAGGAATACATTTTTGGTATAACATAGTATTTTGTCCTTAAAAGTAACTTTACAGCTTTTCAGAACTTTTTTTTGAATCGTGACGTTAGGATTCTTGAGGAATGTGCCGAACAATAATTTTCTATAAAGAAATTCTTTATTTCTCATACTGAACTCTTTTGTATTTACTTTAAAATTGAGTGGTGAAATTGAAAAAATAATAACATTTACTTTGTTGAATTAAAAATCATGCAAAACAAAAAAAAAAAAAAAAAAAAAGTAAATCAAACAATAAATTCGGGAAAGAAGAAATACATTTTTGATATAACATATTTTTTTTCTCCAAAAGTAACTTTATAGTTTTTCATAACTTCTTTTGACTCTTGATGTCAAGAATCTTGAGAAATATGCCCAACAACTATGTTTTTTATAAAGAAATTTGTTATTCTGATACTGAGGTCTTTCGTATTTACTTTAAAATTGAGGGATAAAATTTGAAAAATAGTAACATTTACTTTGTTTATTAAAAATCATGCAAAATATAAATCAGACAGGAAACTCAGGAAAGAAGGAATACCTTTTTGGAATAACATATTTCTTTGTCTATGAAAATAACTTTACTAGATTGCAGAACTTATTTTGACTATTGATGTCAGGAATCTTGAGGAATGCGCTCAACAACTATTTTTTATAAAGAAATTCATGATTCCTCATATTGAGATCTTCCGTAATGAGGGGTAAAATTGTAAAAATAGTAACATTTACGTTGTTATGTTAAAAATCGTGCAACAAGTAAATCAGAGGACTGAGGAATTCGTGAAAGAAAGAATAGCTTTTTGGTATAACATATTATTGTGTGTACAAAAGTAACTACAGCTTTTCAGAACTTCTTTTGACTCTTGATGTCAGGAGTCTTGCGGAATATGCCCAACAATTACTTTCCTATAAATTAAAGAAAATCTTTATTCCTCATATTAAACTCTTACGTATTTACTTTAGTTGATAGACATTGGATCTACACCAATACATTTTTTGAGGTTTTTGTAGAGGAAAAAACCAATGAGGGGTTTTTAACAAATGGGAAGATGAGTTTTTTAGGGAGTTTTTTCCGGCAAATTATGTTTTTTGAGGGGCCCGCCTATTGACCAAAGTTACGCGCAGGGGGCGTGCAGTGCACGCGCCATGCTGGGCGCGTTTAGAGTCGTTTTTTATTTTTTCTTTTTAAAAGTTTATCATATTTGATGTGCGCCGCCCACATTATTTCTCAGGAGGCCGTTTCTGAGTTAGGTTGTAGGGAGTGATTTGATATCTCTCCTCCTCCTCTTGTTCAGTGTCTTATTGATGATTTAATGAATTAAGCTTTTGTTCTCAAAAAAGTTTATCATATTTTTGTTCTTTTTTCTCTCCCTCCTCCCTCGCATAATTAGCACCTCAAAAACAAAAACAAAAATAAAAAACAAAAATAAAAAAATAATAATAATAACAACAACAATATTATTGGAGATGTTCTAAAACATCTACCAAAAAACCTCAACATATGATTTAAAAACTCTGCTCGCATGGGCAGCTCAACTGGTCATAGAGGTGAAAGTTGGAAAGAATGACCAGGGAGCGAGTCTCACCAGCGGCAGTGTGGGAGCAACCTCTCAAAGTGAGGGGGGCTCCTTGTGTGCATTAAGCAAAGGTTTAGCCTCTGTGGTTCATGTTCAAAGTGAGGGGGCTCCTTGTGTGCATTAAGCAAAGGTTTAGCCTCTGTGGTTCATGTTCAAAGTGAGGGGGTCGGGCTGGGGTGTGAGGTGAGTCAGATGCTTTGTCGGGCCGGGGTGTGGGGGTAAGCAAAGGTCTAGCCTATGTCGGGCCGGGTGTAGGGGGTAAGCAAAGTTGAAGTTGATAAATCTACTATTGACTAGTACTTTTGCTGAGCCAAGTTGATAAATCTACTATTGACTAGATCATATTGTTTGGATCTATCGGACATGTATGACATGTATGTTGAAAGGTTATAATGGACGATATATCAAGATCTACTAGAATCAATACTATGTTATATGTTGTAAGAATAATCAAATGACTTCTACTAATATAAAAATTAAATTTGTTTGCACATTGATCTTTCCATATTTTCTAGATGTGATATGTTGAATAAAACTTGAACAAATAAACTAAGTTTTATTTTGACGTTTTCAAATTATCATATCAAATGTAATCCTTGCAAAAAAAAATTGGAAATTCCAACCTCCTTAAATTTATACAATATTAATATCATCAAAATCTAAAGAACATTATTCATAAAAAAATTTGAATTGAAACATATTTAATTAGCAATAATATTATATATAATTAAATGTAATATATTTAGTTTCACATAATATTATTAACATTTGTATAGACAAATTAAATATAATATATCTAATGTAACAAATATTATCAATAACGGTAAAACAATAGAAAATTATTGTAATTAACTTGGTTAGTGTATTTTGCAAATCCTCTAAAAAGGGTCCACCATAATATTTTACTTTATTTTTTGAAATGACCAACCAAATAATTTGTGATAAATCTTTAAATGAAGAAAAAAAAAACATATTCTAGTCTGGTATTATATATAGCTAGGTGATAACACCTTTTCTTGCTGTCTCCATCCATCACCTCCATCTCACTGTCAAAATGCTCCTTACCTCTTTCCATTTTCACAAAAAAGCCCTAACTGTTCTCCCATCACTCTAACCTGTTACTCTACCATTTTCAATATTATTGCAGACCAAAAACGACTGTTTCTGTCCCTTTCAATTATGGGAGAAACCATTCACCCAGTCCCTTCAAACATACATTTTTAGTAAACAAAAAACCAACCAAACATCATAAAAGCCTTCAATGGTTTTCTAGGACTGATCAAACTCAAAGCTCTGAATAATAAAAAAGCCCTTCATCCTACATCATCATCATCTTCTTCCTCTAAGCTTTCATTTCATTTTGCTGGAGTTATGAAACCCTAGTTATGTTGTTTTGTTTTGTTTTGTGGCTGTAAGAATCTGTGGGTCGCGAAGAATTGGCTTAGGAAAAAAATCCCAGTAAAAAAGAAGAGATTTTGATGGATTCATTGAAACGAGAAGTGGATTCACCTAAAAGTATGGCGATCAACGCTCCAATGGAGAATAATACCACCACAATGATGATGATGTCGTCGGCTTCGTCATCGTCGTCGCCGTCGGCGACGGCTATCTCCCCGACCACGGCGGCGGCGGCAACCCTAAGCCGGTACGAGAACCAGAAGCGGCGGGACTGGAACACCTTCGGGCAGTACCTGCGGAACCACCGGCCGCCGCTGTCGCTGTCCCGCTGCAGCGGCGCCCACGTGCTGGAATTCCTGCGCTACCTCGACCAGTTCGGAAAAACTAAGGTTCACACCCCTCTCTGCCCCTTCTTCGGCCACCCCAACCCGCCGGCTCCCTGCCCTTGCCCTCTCCGCCAAGCCTGGGGCAGCCTAGACGCCCTCATCGGCCGCCTCCGCGCCGCCTACGAGGAAAACGGCGGCAAGCCGGAAGCCAACCCCTTCGGCGCCCGAGCCGTCCGCCTTTACCTTCGTGAAGTCCGAGATTCCCAAGCCAAAGCCCGCGGAATCAGCTACGAGAAGAAGAAGCGAAAGAAGCCACCACCCCAGCCGCCGCAATCCTCCGCCTCTCCCGCTGCTTTGCCTCCATCCGCCGCCGCCACTTAACCTCAACCCAAATCCTCTTTTGGATCTATCATATGATCCATGATTTGAAAAGGTTACTACTACATATGTAAGTCCCTAAACAATTTCCCAGATTTTTAGCAGTAATTATAATACCTGTATGTATGTATGTATGTACTATATATGTGTTGGTCGAAAATTGAAGCTGTACTGTGAATAGTGGCAGCTTTAGTTAGACTTGGAATTTCTTCATCATCATGACTATATAAATTGGAGTATTTTGTTGTGTATATATTGATCTGATCTGTTGGGCTTCTTTTTTGTTAATATACACCAGATCTTGTGCTGCAAATCATCAGAGTTTGGCTAAAAAGAAACCCTGTTTTTAGTATATTTGGTGTCCTTTTTGCTGATGACTTACACACACTGATGTTTTTGTGTTTATTTAGTTTTAGTGAAATTAAGGTATTAGGTTTGAGAGTGGTGTTGTAAAGATCACTTGTCAGCTTTACCTTCTTCACCACTGTCTGTTTTATCAAATCATCTTTAAGTTCTCTCAGTCTTCTCTCTAGTCTCTAGTTTCAGTCACCACCTCTTTCTTGTTTCTTTCTGCTAGTTATTACTGCATTTCCTTGTTCTTGAAAATCTCCAAAACTTGGGTATTTGCATTCACTTGTAATCTAGTCCGACATAACACCATGACACTGAAATGGAAGTATTCAAACCATAAACACTACTTTTGTTTTCTTTTCATAAATAAACCCCATCAGACTTAGTAACCACGAGATTACAAGTTTCAGTCCGGGTGAGAGTAGCATATTAGTCTTCTTGATTTAAACCGATCAGCTATGGGTAACTTAAGTTCTACAAGGTCACAAGTTCCACTCTTAGTCTTCTTGATTTAAACCGATCAATGATGGATGACTTAAGTTGCCGATTATATACTACTGAAAATTATTGAATTTCCGACTACCTAAAAGTTATCTTAAATCAAGTCGAAAGCCTTGTTCCTACCATTTTTGGTATCCGGAAAAACCTTTGTTGTTATTTTCGACCACTTTTTGCTTTCAACTTGATTTAAAATCACTTTCAGGTTGTCAGAAATTCCATAATTTGATAATTAATTACAAGGCGGGTAATGATTGCTGATTTCTCACACTATTCAAACAGTCCTAGAGATAATCATGTATATTATACATGTTTAAATTGGATTCTATTAACACCAATGTGAATAGTATTGGTGTAAAGTAATAGTGTATATGATGGTACTTATACTATAGATATAGTAAAAAATATTTATAAATGGGTGCCTTGTGTTCAGTGAAGTAGTTTTAATTACTTTATGATATCTTATTATATAAACTTTACCTTATTACAATGAGATGGGATTGGAGGTCTATCCCACTCTTGCCAGATAAAGCTCAAGTGAAATGTTGGTATTGGATGTGTATAAATGTTTTTTTCTTAAATTTCCATTTTATATGTCCTACGAAATTTTATGCTGATACTTTGTATTTACTATTTAGTGAAGCCTTTATAAATTATAAGTTCTAATATTATGATTGCTATTACTCCAAATTTTCAGTATTTTTTTTAAAAAAATTCTCATTCTCCGTTTTTAAATGAGAGAAATATACAAATTTTGTTTGTATTTCTCCCCCTTTTTTTTAGAATAAAAAATAAAAAATCTACTAATTAATAAATGCACCATATGTGACCAAACTTGATTAATGAAATAATATATTCGAAAATAGGTATATTCTAGTTTCAAGAGGAGAATAGTGTTTTTATTTAATATCTATAGAGTCCAATTTTAGTTTACATGGACAAAAGTACACATAGTTCAGATATACATATATGCCTCATTAGGATTTGAACTCTCCTCATCCATTTTCTCTTCATGGAATTTACGATTGTTTTTGTGATTACTGAATCAATTCAATGGGACAACAATGTAGTATATTGTTCGCATGGGCCGCTCAGTTGGTTATGGCGGTGAAGTTTAAAAATAATATAAAATGATTAGGGACTGAGTCTTACCAGCGGCAGTGTACCGTGGGAGTAACCTCTCAAAGTGAGGGGACTCTTTGTGCGCAATAAATAAAGGTCTAGTCTATATGTTCAGCTGAATTACCATAATTTACATCATTCAAAATGTCCTGTCGGATTGAAACATAGGGGCCCTTAGAGTTGGGTATTTAATTACCTTTTTTTTTTTGAACAATAATGTAGTATACTCCGTTGGATTAATAATGGCATATTTATTGTGGCAACATTATTTATTAGGGAAATCCATCTACCATTTCCACCTTGTGTCACCTCAAATCTCAGATGTTCCCCAAATAGGGGATAGCAATAAATTAGTCAGGTGTCTGGCATTAACTACTGTAACTGTAGCCCGCCCATATATATAGGTGCAAATTCTCATAATTCAAGGGCATGGCCATTCACCTTGTCCAGTTTTATTTGGTATAGAGTACAAATCCCCAACACCCTAACTATTTTGTTTGTGACAGTTTGCCTTGTTTGTTTCACCACGTTGGTTAAGAATAAAATATTATTGTTGGAATAACTCTTATGGAATTGGGTAATTATTGGTCCTTGGTTCAATAATTACAATATTTTAAATTTAACTTTTTGTAAGATCGAGATATCTATTGAACTTTTTAGTTTGAAGTAATTAGCTATGAATAATCTAAGCTGATTTACTTGCTGTGCTGTTTAGGGTTATAAAACATAATAATGACAGTACAATTTTCAGTAAGTCAAAAAATTTAAACTATTTTTGGGTAAAAATTATATTTGCTAGTTAAAAACTATTCTCCTTATATTATATTAAAATATCAAACAAAAATTTTCACATTCAATAAAAAGTAATTGCATTCTTTTGAGTAACGTTTATTGACAATTATAATTGATTCAAAATAAGTTTGAATTCTCCTATGTGATGAGATGAATTTCATATATTTATATGTTCTAAATGGTTTATGGTTAAATTGAAAGAAAAAATATATATTTTTCGTAGTGTATTCTTAAAATTGAAAGAATATGTGAGTGTGAATTAGTATATAAAGTTTTCATTCACTTTATGCAAGTGTAAAATATGCTATTAGAATACACTTTAATAAGCATAAGTGCTGAGTCTATTTTATGGCCTGTTTGGTTCACGGAATAGGCCGGGAATGGCATAGCATTCCCAGTAATAGGCCTATTCCGTTGTTTGGTAACCATTTCTATTACCAGGAATAATATTTCAGGTAATAGTCTATTACCTCAAATAAGGTAATAGCTATTACTAGGGCCCCCCCTGGTAGTAGCCTATTACTGAACGCTCAGGAATAGATTTTAGAATCTATTTTCTTTTTTACCCCTTTCTTTAACCTAATTTTTTATCCTATATATAAATTTATCCTATTTCACCACCGTCGTCGCCACCATCGCTGCCGCCACCACCACCACCATCGCCACAACCGTCGCCGCCCCCACCACTGCCACCGCCACCACCGCCACTACCACCTCAGCACCACCACCACCATCATGATCACCACCACCGCCGTCGTCGCCGCCACCACCGCCACCAGAACCACCACCCAGCAGCACCACCGCCACTAACACCACCACCACCGCCACAACCGTCGCTGCCCCCACCACCCACTGCCACAACCGTCACCGTCACCACCACCACCGCCGCCCCCACCACTGCCACCACCACCACCACCACCACCACCACCACTACCACCCCAGCACCACCACCACCACCGCCACCACCACCATCACCATCACCACCACCACCGCCACCACCACCACCACCACATATTTTTATAAGGGTATTTATGTCTTTTAAAACATATTTCATTTCTATTTATGTCTTTTATTATGCAAACTTGGATATTAAAATTTGTAATTTTCAAACTTTTCTACGTTTCGCATTTAGTATTAACATTTTGAATATTTAGTATTAATATTTTGCATATTTAGTATTAAAAGATTGCACTTACAAAAATGCGAAAGTACATTGCACTTAGCGTTTCGATTTTAGAGTTTTTGACTGAGTTTTTTTTATTTTATTTGGTTTAGTGATTCACTTTTTACAGCTTAAGGTCTAACATTTACAGTTTAGATTTAAAAATTAATTTTTTCGTTGATTTTATAAAATTTACCAGGTTTGCATATTTAATTGTTAAAGGTTGCATATTTAAGTATTCAAGTTTGCATAGTAAAATTGATGATAAACTGACACCCACATTATTTTAAAAATTTGGTCAAATTCATCAAATTTTTACAAATGTAATATTGAGATTGCTTCTTTACTTCTTATTTCTCTCCTTAATCAAAAGTGTATGTAATTGTCAAATACTAAATGTTATGTTATAAAAAATAGGTATACTCACTAATAAGGAATTAGTCTTTAATTTTCTAGAAATATGGCAATATAATGTTAGGGTTTTGAATGATTGAATCATATATATATATATATATATATATATATATATATATATATAGAAAAGCGCTCATATGTGGTCATGTCATTAGGTGTGGTCGTGTGGTCGTGTCTGGGTCGTTGAATCAGTTTAATCTAAAGGCAGTGGTAATTCTGAGAATTTTCGCGCGTTTTAGTAAGAGGGGGTGTTATGGTAATTACAGTGACCATTTATAGCGGGCGGGTTCCAGAATACACCAACAGTGTTGACAACATACACCAATAGTGTAATAAAACACACCACAGTGAAACACACCAATGGTGTATTCCCGTGTTATGGTAATTACAATGGCCATTTATAGCGGCCGGGTTCCAGAATACACCAACAGTGTTGACAACATGCACCAATAGTGTAATAAAACACACAACAATGTGATTTTCCCTATTCCGGTGTTTTATGACAAGTTTACCCTTACAGTTCTCTGGGTAGGAGAATGTGCGCGAAAATACTGGAAAAAATCTTGATTAATATGAATCATTAGATCTATCTAATCTAATGGTCTATAATTGACCATATGACCACACCTAACAACATGACCACATGTGAGCGCTCCTCTATATATATATATATATATATATATATATATATATATATATATATATATATATATATATATATATATATATATATATATATATATATATATATATATATATATATATATATGTCTGGTTATCCTATATAAATTTTTAATATTACTTTTTTTACAGCCTTTTTGGCTTATCATGATGAAATATGATTGTTTGTCTGCATAAAGCTTGTAAGCTATGTTTGCAGAAATCAAACGTACCCGGTAAACTTTTTTAAAGA